TCACCTGTCCTGGGAAGAGCCGAATCAACCTCCACAGCAGCAGCTGTGGCCATCCCGTGTCCTGACCACCTCTGCCCATGGGCAGGGGAGTGTGACTCCACCCTGTGCTGATCCCTTACCCTCTGGTTTCTCTCTTGCTGGCTCAGGGCTTTACACCCCCAGCATCCACAGCTGCCTTCGCAATTACTTATCGATCCCTTGTCAGGATGTTTTCTTTGCTGATGGAGCGCTGAAGCATGTGCAGCCAGAGAGAGAAAAGACATTCAAAACGAAGGAGCAAAGGTGTGAGGAGGATGAGCAGCTCTTGCACATATGTGATTGCAGCAACAAACAGCCTCAGCAAAATCTGCTCCAAAATTCAGCATCCTGCAGAGACGACCGGGATCTCCTTCCCATTGCCCTGCTCCAATAACCTGCCTGCTGAGCCTGAAAACCACTCTCTGGGCTGGCTTGGGGCCACTGCCAGTTGTCTCTCCATCCACTGTACATAGCTGTCCCTGCATGGGGTCAGGCAGATCCACAGCCCAGAGCTAAATCAGTGGACAGCTGGGCCGAAGCTTCCCATTTCCAGCATCCCAGGCCTTTACAGCCTGTGTTTGAGCTGTTCTTCTCCCCTGGGCATCCCTCTCCCCATTTTTCTGCTCCTCTTGCCCTTTTTCTTGGCGTGTCCCTGCCTCAATCCACTGCAGCACTGGGGACACATTTTGGGTGGCAGAGCCCCTTTCCCTGAGGAAATGCCTTTGCAGGGCAGTCCCGCGGGCCAGGCATGGCTGGGATCTGGTGCCAGCCTGGTGGTGTCAGTGCCGGAAGGGGATTTGCATCTTCAATACTTCTTCATGCTCTTTTACAGCCTCAGAGCAACTGCCAGAGCGGATCAGGTTGCACACACCTATTCCAGGCTCCTGCCACGGAGCAGCTGAAAGCAGATACTTCAGGAGGCTGGGTGAGAGCTCCTGGCTGCAGAGCTGTGCCTCCCTGTGGGCGAGGGGACTGGTGACCCCACAGCCAGGGACTGGTGAGGCTGGGGGTGAGCTCCTCTCTGGCTGACCTGCCGTGGGTCACTGTCTTGCACAACTTGCTCGTGTGTTCCCACCACCCTGAGGGGTCTCTGTCAGCTCCTGCCTGTTTCTTCCTTATTCTTACACCCTCCTGTACTGTTTCTGGAGGATTTGGGGCCGAGCCAGGCCACAGGGCAGCCCTTTGCCCCGTGGCAGTGTTTTCTTGCCCTTCATTAGCAGCCCATCCATTGATGAAGGTCCAGGAGAAGTGTGGCAGAAGTTCTCCATCACATAGGCCAGCACTGCCTCCAGCCATCACAGCTGCCAGCCCCGTGCCCACCAGCCAGCCCTGGCAGCACTCAGGGCTTACTTTAGGCTCTTCCTCTTTGGTTTCTTCCTACCCACGTGAATCAGAGTGATCCCAGGAGGGAAATCATCCCCTGTGCCTGGTGCTCCCACCCATCCCTGGGCACAGGGGAGAAGGGCAACTACTGCCAGTGCCTGTACTCTAGTGTCTGTGTGGAAAAAGAGGAGGAGGAGGGAGAGGCAAAGCAAAAGGACCACAAATGCATGCTGGACACAAGGGGAATGATGGAGCGAGGAGGAAATGGGCACGAACGTGTTTGGCAAATTAAAGCTGCTCCCTTTGTTCTGCTGCTTTGCAGATAGCTACAGGAACACAGTGCAGAGCCCGGGGTCTGGATAAGAAACTCTTTTAGCAGCAGGAAAGGTTGTTAAATATTTATTTGTAAACCTGGAGTCTTTATCTCTAAAACGTAGTCAAGTTCAATAAAATTTGATTTAGCTGGAGCAGCTTAGAGGAGACACGAGCACGGACTCAGAGCCATGTCTCGTGGGCTTTGTACAGAGCCCTCAGGGCAGAGATGGGGTGAGCCCGTGGCTGGACCTGCACCCACCCCACAGCATGGGCAGGGTGCCCTGTGCTGTCGGGTCTGGCTGTGCAGAACTGGGAGCACTGGGCTGGCTCCTGCAGGGACAGGTGGGATGGGAATCTGAGCCCCCAGAGCACCCCCAAACCCTTGCTGGGATGTGGCTCTTTGTCCTAAATTGCCTGTTGTCTCTGAATGCTCTCAGCAGCATCTGGTTCAAGGGTGAACATCTCTGCACAGTAATTTATGGCTGCCAGGTGTGGTTCGAGCTGACTCGGGGATTTTTGCTGTGCTGTGGGCGCAGCAGATCGCTCAGTGCCAGGAGCACCAGGCTGACCAGCCTGGCTCAGTGGGCAGTGAGGAGGGCAGGGCCCAGGGACAGCAGTGGTGGTGGCAGGCACAGCCAGGTGACTCCCACCCTCGGGCAGCCTCAGAGCACACCTGGGGCAGACCCTGGGCACACTCCTGGGTCATCACCCAGGGTTTGGTGTTCCCAGGGCTGTTCCTCCGGCACCAGGAAAATCTGTGCCTGGCACAGCAGAGTGAACCCCACGCACGTCAGCACTCCAGCCCAGCCCCAGGCTGCATTTCCAGGCACAGGCCTAGAATAGCATCTTTGCCCCAGTGCTGAGCTCAGCCCGAGACACTCCACAGGTCCTGCTGCCAAGTCCAGCAGCTTCCCCAGGGAAGGGACTGTGCTCTGGAGCCCTCAGCCCCAGGGGCAGGTGGGGAGGGCAGGGGTCAGTGGCTGCTGTGGCTCTGAGTATGAGTTTTGCTTCGGTTCGTGCTGGTTTGCTCATTGCCTAAAGGCAGTGAGTCTGGCAGCTGCTGCTTTTTTTATCGGTTCTTTTTTGTGTGTGTGAGGAAGGAGAGCCATGCTCATGCCACAGGGCTGGGCTGTGGCCTGGTCCTGCCTGGCAGCTCATGCTGGGGCCATGGTAGGGTACGTGGGCATGTTTCAGGGCTCTCCACAGAGTAAACCTGGAGGGCTTCAGTCTGGGGAAGCCCTTCCTGAGGTGGCAATTAGGAGAGGTGGCCACTGCATCCTCCCCTGGGGACACCAGGCTCTCTCCCAGCTGGCACCCACAGCCCACGCAGGGCAGGTAAAGTCACAGGTGGGTTGTTGACCCATAGCTCGCACAAAAATCACACCTGACATCATTTTCAGAAGGGCATCTCTTAATATCCACCTCACCTTGAGGCACAACTGCTCCTCTCAGAACCAGGCAGAGGCGAATGGGAAGCTGAAGTGATTTAAAGCTCATCTTAGCTCAGAATTTTTCAGCTTATTTATTGTCTTTCTCCCAAAGCTCTTCTGTGACTCTGGCTATTAAGATTACGGATGTTTTTGTCAGGGATTGCATTTATCACGGATTTAAATTTAGCTGGGAACTAATAACATGTGAGGTGTGTCTAGACTTTAATTCCATGCAAGTGAGCTGCTCTCCTCGGAAACACGGCGCAGATTCTGCTTCATTCATCTGGTGCCTCTTGGCTTACGTTTTACACATCGACACAACTCTCCAAGGCTGGAGAGGGGACAACAGCACCAGGCCAGAGGTGGTGGAGGTGCAATCCCCTTCCCACTGCTGGAGAGGCAGGATTGTGCCCGAGGGAGCTGTGGCAGGATTTGGCTCTCCCTGCCCGCGGGGACCAGCGCACGCACGGGCAGAGCAGAGGGTTCAGCCAAATAAGGCCAGCGCCTGGCACTAACGAGCTGAGTGTTTTCAGCCCTGCTGTAATTAAGCCCCTCAGACTATATTTTGTTTTGCATGGTGTATTTTGCTGTCTTTGATGGCTTGCTCAGCACGGCTGCAAGGAGTGGGAATTGGTTTCTGCGAAACACGGGCCGAGGGAGGCTGTGAGTGAGCTGGCACACGCTGACAAGCGTCTGGTGGGAGAGCAGTGCCCCAGGAGCCTCCTGGCCACGGGGATGGGTGGCATGTGGGGCCCTGGCAGCTCTGCCCCAGCCCAGGCTGCAGCACGAGCCTGGGGAGCAATGCCACGTGCAGCCCTTAGCCTGAGAGCTGCAGCTCAGGTGCCACCCCGGCCCAGGCACCGGCCCCAGCCGCATCGCGACGGTAGCAGCAGCTCTGCCCGTGTCTGTACAGCTGCCCAGCACCAGGGAGGTGATGACATGGGAGATGATGGATTGTAAATACCCAGCAAATGGCTCTTTGCAGCCTGGCCCAGGCCCAGGCAATCCCACTGGAAATGTTTCCACCGGACTGGGACGTGCTGGCCCGGAGCTGGCAGGAGGGAGCTGGGGAACTCTGTGGGATCAGCTCCCATCTCTGCACCCCTTTGTTTCAGGGGTTCCCTGCTCAGGGTGGTCCCTGACAAGTATCCCCACTGCAGAGGGAGCTGGGAGAGAGGATAGAGAGGGAACTGGAATAAAACCACAGAGGGAGTCTGTGAGGACTCCAGGGCCTCCCATCCCACTGCTGGCTGTGCCAAGCCTGGTGGTTTCCACGATGGTGCCTGTGGACATTTTTATGGCCAGTCCATCATTTTCCATCTTTGCATCTTGCAAAGAGATTTTTGAATAATTTTTTGGGAACAAAAGTTATGCTTGGGTCATATATCTGTACGAGATGATGAATACGAGCGGCCGCAATGGCAGGAAGGCAGCGAACGCCTCCCAGCCCCATAAATAGTGCTGGAGCAGGGAAAGTAATGTACAGGATATACAGTGATGGATACAAACGGAGCCAATGGAAGTAATGGATTGGGTGTGTTCGGCGAGAGCCATAAATAGCATTAGTGTGAGCACTGCAGAGAGCAACATAACAATAGATGGAAACACAGGCCGGAGTAGCCGTAGATCTAATATGCAATATTAATATGATTTGATTCCTCCTAACAGCTCAAACAAGGAAATAAATGCAACAGAGGCAGCGTTGGCAGTGGGCTGGGATGGCTCAGGGCTGGGGTATAACACTCAGTGGTGCTCAGAGCCTGGGGGAGCAAGGGGGACAGGGCTGGTTCCCTCGGAGCTGTCAGCATTGCTGACCCCAGGTGGGGTTCCCCCAGACGCTCGATCCCGTGCTCAGCTCCTCTGCATTTGCAAAGCAGCCTTTATATTCAGGCTCCATCTACAGGGAACGGAATAATTTCAAGAGCTTAAAATAGGATGTAGATAGATGTGTTTCGTATTAAATTTTTTTTTTTTTAAGGAGCTGAGGAAGCTGTCTGACACAGATTCCTCAAGGCTTTCCACTCAAAAGTCTGTGCACGTTCAATCATCAAGTGGAAAGTCGAGGGGGTGGGGAGCAGAGATGGTCCTGTAGCCAAAGGGCTGGATTTCAGCTGGAAAATTAGAACCTCTGCTCTGCATCAGCAGCGCCTTTCGCCTTAATGTCTTCCCTGCCAGGACAGTGGAGCTTTTGCCACGGCCGTGCCCGCGGTTGGCTCACCCCACCTCGCTCTTTGTGTCCCCTCTGTGCCTGCAGGTGAGCGATAGGATGGTCGCTGGGGAGGTGACTATGCGCAGCCCAATCCTGGCCTGCTGGCAGCCGATCCTCCTGCTGATGTTGGGCTCCATCCTGTCCGGCTCGGCCACGGGCTGCCCGCCGCGCTGCGAGTGCTCCGCGCAGGAACGCGCCGTGCTCTGCCACCGCAAGCGCTTCATGGTCGTGCCGGAGGGCATCCCCACCGAGACCAAGCTGCTGGACTTGGGCAAGAACCGCATCAAGACGCTCAACCAGGACGAATTTGCCAACTATCCTCACCTGGAGGAGCTTGAGCTAAATGAGAACATTATCAGTGCCATTGAACCTGGGGCTTTCAACAACCTCTTCAACCTCAGGACGCTGGGGCTCAGGAGTAACAGACTCAAGCTGATCCCCTTGGGGGTGTTTACTGGACTCAGCAACCTTACCAAGCTAGACATTAGTGAGAACAAAATTGTGATCCTCCTAGACTACATGTTCCAGGACTTGTACAACCTCAAGTCTTTGGAGGTGGGGGACAATGACCTTGTCTACATCTCCCACCGGGCCTTCAGTGGCCTCAACAGCCTGGAGCAGCTGACCCTGGAGAAATGCAACCTGACCTCCATCCCCACGGAGGCCCTGTCTCACCTTCACGGCCTGATTGTGCTGCGGCTGCGCCACCTGAACATCAACACCATCCGGGATTACTCATTCAAGAGGCTGTACCGGCTCAAGGTCCTCGAGATCTCACACTGGCCCTACCTGGACACCATGACATCCAACTGCCTCTACGGGTTGAACCTGACCTCCTTGTCCATCACCCACTGCAACCTGACGTCCATCCCGTACGTGTCGGTGAGGCACTTGGTTTACCTCCGGTTCCTGAACCTGTCCTACAACCCCATCGTCACCATCGAGGGCTCCATGCTCCACGACCTGCTCAGGCTCCAGGAGATCCAGCTGGTGGGAGGGCAGCTCACCACGGTCGAGCCCTTCGCCTTCCGTGGCCTCAATTACCTGCGCATCCTGAACGTGTCAGGGAACCTGCTGACCACCCTGGAGGAGTCGGCCTTCCACTCGGTGGGCAACCTGGAGACTCTCATCCTCGACAACAACCCCTTGGCCTGCGACTGTCGGCTGCTCTGGGTGTTCCGCCGGCGATGGAGGTTGAACTTCAACAAGCAGCAGCCAACGTGCTCCACGCCCGAGTTCGTCCAGGGCAAGGAGTTCAAAGACTTCCCCGACGTCCTCCTGCCCAACTACTTCACCTGCCGCCGAGCGCGGATACGGGACCGCAAACCTCAGCAGATCTTCGTGGACGAAGGCCACACAGTCCACTTTGTGTGCCGGGCAGATGGGGACCCACCACCCATCATCATGTGGCTGTCGCCGCGGAAGCACCTCATCTCCACCAAAACCAACGGGCGGCTCACTGTCTTCCCTGACGGCACTCTGGAGGTGCGCTACGCCCAGATCCAGGACAACGGCACCTACCTATGCATCGCCAGCAACGCGGGTGGCAACGACACCATGCTGGCACACCTGCACGTGCGCAGCTACTCCCCGGACTGGCCCCACCAGCCCAACAAGACCTTCGCGTTCATCTCCAACCAGCCCAACGAGAGCGATGCCAACAGCACGCGCGCCACCGTGCCTTTCCCCTTCGACATCAAGACTCTCATCATCGCCACCACCATGGGCTTCATCTCCTTCCTGGGCGTCGTGCTCTTCTGTCTGGTGCTCCTCTTCCTGTGGAGCCGGGGGAAAGGCAACACCAAGCACAACATCGAAATCGAGTACGTGCCGCGCAAGTCCGACGCGGGCATCAGCTCGGCCGACGCGCCGCGCAAGTTCAACATGAAAATGATTTAACCAGGCAACAATTTGCAAATAATAATGGTGTTGTTTTGTTTGTTTTTTTTTTAAAAAAAAAGAACAAATGAACGAATAAAAAATAATTAACAAACGTTGCTACAAACATACCGACCTCTCTCCTTCCACCATATCCCGTGTCCCCGTCTGAACCCACTGCGCCCGCACTGTCACCACCTCTTTCTCCTCCTCTTCTTCTTTATACCAGGAAAACATCCAGCTGATGTCTTCAGGACTCCTGTGTTTGTAAGGACTTTGTCTGATGGACTCTGGTGTCAGATATAACTCTGAGAGGGGAAAAAAGCAAACAACAGAGGGGGGGAAAAAAGAAAAAAAGAAAAAAAAGAAATAAAATCAATAAAAAGTTACGAACTTTCTTCTGTAACTTTGATTTCAATAATTATGGATTTTTATGAAAACTTGAAATAATAAAAAAACCCTATTTCCTATAGATAGTTGGAATGCAAAATCTTGACTTCTTGATCTGTCCAGTCCTGTACCTGGCAAGCACTTGTTTTCTCACTGCAGAGGCACTTCCCAGAGGCCTCTCCAAGAGCAGCCCCAGGCCAGGGTGAGTCTCAGACCCACACCAAAGGCACCTCCCACAGTGTCCTGGGCATTGCAGGGCACCAAGAGGAGTTGGATTTATTTTTTTTACCCAAGCACCGGCTGCAGTCTCTGCACAGCAGTCCCTGTGGGCAGGGATGCAGCAGCTCCATGGGCAGCACAAACAGGCAGTGCCCTGCCCACCCCCAGCTCCTGGTACCCCATGGCTGGAGCAGCTCCAGTGTTGCTCCTCACCTGCCTGAAATTCCTTCTGACAATGGCTGGTTGGGCCTGACTGCTGGCAGGGACTTCAGTACCCACAGGCACATCCAAGGGAATGCAGCTTGCAGGAGACCTTGTCTGAAAAAGAATAAAGTTGGTTAGGTTTATAAACATACACACACACACTCTCTCCCTGTCATCTTGATGTCTGGTCACCAGCAGCAACCTGTCTTAGCTCAGCTCTGGGACTTGGGATCAGGTGGTCTGTAAGGTCTGTGTTCTCTCATAGAACCATAGAACAGGTTGGGTTAAAAGGGACCTTAAAGATCATCTCATCTCCATGAGGGAAAGGGAAGGGATAGGGGTTAAATTTGCCATGGGGCTTCCACAATTGGAAACACAGAATATTCCTGCAAATGGTAAAATGGGCACCTCAGTGAATCAGCAGGTGCTTTCCATTCTCCCTGGCTGCCACCAGGAGGGTGGCACCACTGCCCAGCAGCCTCCTGGGCTGCCCAGCCTCGGTGGCATCTCCCAGGCAGATGAACTGAGGTCTGCATGCTTGATTTGTAAAGCACCTAAGGAGTCTTCAGGGATCAGAGTCACTACAAGATGACAGAATACAAGCGACAGGAACCTGGAGCACCAACAGGGAGAAGAATGGATTTGCTTTTCTTCCAGCAATGTGACAATCTAGAAGAACCAACCTGAAGCATCTGTGCTGCTGGGGAGGAGGGAATTTTTGCTGGTTTCAGCTTTCTGTTCATCTTCAAACAAAACATCCTGTGCTTCTTTTTCCACAGCAGGTTTCAGAAGCTTTGATTTGTTCCTTTCTCATCTCTAACCCATCTTTCCCTTATAACTTTGAAACCAAAACATTTTTTTAAAAGCCTTTTGCTTTTGTTTTGCTTTTTAAAAAGAGCCAAAGCAAAATGCTCTAAGAGCTTCCCCTCCCACCAGTGTTTAACCAACATTTCCAGTGAGCTAAACACAAAACCACCAACAGCAGCACACAAACCTGGGGATGAAGCTGAAGGCACACACGCTCCAGGGACTGCAGATCCTGCTCCAGGGGCTGGGAGCAGCACTCCCCTGGGAGAGGCAGGGATGCATGGAGACATCAGCCCTTGGAGGATGATTCCAAGCCAAGTGCAGCTGAGCAAGCACAGAAACCTCTGTCCTGGTTGCCAGGACTGACAGGAACTCAGCCAGGGGTTCAAGACAGCAGAACAGGAGGTTCTCCATGATCCTGGACAACTACTACCACTGGCCATCCAAAAGAGCTGCTTAATTGGCTCCAAGTGATCCTATTTAGTGCAGTAATGAAAAGAGTTAATTCAACACATACAGATTACAAAACAATACCAATAACCACATCCAGCGAGGAATTTTCAGCATACTGCAGGGCCCCAGCAAGCAAAGGGGGACCCAAATCTGTCACCCATGATCCTGGACAACTACTACCACTGGCCATCCAAAAGAGCTGCTTAATTGGCTCCAAGTGATCCTATTTAGTGCAGTAATGAAAAGAGTTAATTCAACACATACAGATTACAAAACAATACCAATAACCACATCCAGCGAGGAATTTTCAGCATACTGCAGGGCCCCAGCAAGCAAAGGGGGACCCAAATCTGTCACTGTTCAAAAGAAGCTTCAAAAAGATAAGGAGAGAGAAAACTTTAACATCTCAGGGTTTTCCCCAGCACCAGCACCTCTGCTGCCCTAAACCCTCCCAGGGGAGGCCACACTGCAGCTCAAATCCCTCGTTAGTGAGTGTTCCCATGCTCTGTGGCACTGCTGCTGCCACACACTTTGTTACCCACACTGATTTTTTAATCTTCGATGCTTTGTGAACTGGGTAATGTATTTTTTTTTCCAGTCACCATGTGATTGAAGCAGATGGATGGAGCAGAAGAAAAGCATCTTGGAGTGGCCAGCAACTCACCTCAGCCATTTTCATGGCTGGTAAAGATGAGAAAAGAAAAACAAATCCAAAGAATAAACTCTTTCTCTCCCTTGCTGAAATTTACAGCCTCTTTCTATTGCAGTTTAATCAGGGGTGAGAGAGCAGGGGCTGGGTTCCAGCACTGCTCTTCAGGGAGCCATGGGCTGTGTCAGAGCCAGACAGCACTTTGCACTTGTTCTTTTGAATATAGATAAATACAAAGCACTTCGTAAAACGGATCAAAAGAGGTAGCAGGAAACAAAAAACAGGAAGAGATATTCCTCTGGCATGGAGGGCAAACAATGCCTTACCTCCTCTGGTTCCCAGACTGGGAGCCCCATGGGGATCTCCATGACAGCCAGTGTGTGTGTGGACACAGTATGGAGCAGGACGAGGGGTTGGTCAGCAGTTCCAGCCTGGGAACATCACCCATCCCAGGCCCTTCCCTCCCCTCCAGCTCCACATGTCCCTCACTGCCATGGCCCATGGCAGGCAGGAGTCAGCTCTCCCCTCTGCCTCCGAGGCAGGAGCAGAGTTATGAGCACCCCGTGGGGGACACATGTACACCCACCAACTCCCTGACTCTCCCCACCAATCCCTGTGCCCACTCAGCTCCTCTCCCTGGATCACCAGAGGCACAGACAGCAGCTCGTCAGACCAGGTTTGATACTTTGCTTATGTAGGGGTGAGTGTGACCAGAGGAGAGGGGTTGGACTGGCCCTTTAACTCCCTGTGCCCCCCCAGTTCTCT